TGAGTGAGCCTAAATGCTGCAGAGTGTGGCTCTAGTGCCTTGCTTCTCAACTGGTGGGTTGTGACCTTAAAATGGGGTTTGACCCCGTATTCAGTGGGTCACCGCATGCCTTCCACTTTTCTAGGTGAGAGGCTGCTCTGCTTCCCCCTAGCGCAGCACTGTCAGTTCTCACACCAAGCAGCCAATCGAAGTATGCTGTCCGATGCCAAGCGTCAGCATGAGGTAGGGTGGGCTGGGGGTATGGCCGCGAGGGAGCTCTATCCATACGTACATTGCTTACAGCTCCCTCATGTGCCCTATAGAGGTGCCTGGACTGGAGTCACATCACCTCTACAGGGTGCGCAAGGGAGCTGTACAAGCAATGCACATATGGATGGAGCTCTGTCACAGCACAACAGCACACACTGGACCCCAGGCTGAGGATCCACTCCAGTTCTTGTAAGGTTTGAAAAAGTTTGGCGTATGTATGTGAGAATGTCTGCGAGATTGTGTCTGTGGTTGTGTATGTATGTCAGTGTTTTTGAGGGCCCATTCACACTAATACAGTGCATTAATCATGTAGTACTGTGCAATTAACGCACTGGACCATGCAGTCGCACCTACCGTCCATTCTGGTGTGGGAAGTGTGTTGGAATGCCATTCATTTGAATTGTACTCCAAACGCACCTCCCCCCACAGTTCGTACGCCCGCAGTACCCTAATTCCCGTGCGTTCCACTGTGTGGACTTGGGTTGACCAAGGACAAATATGGGTCCTGAGGTTACACAGGCTGAGAACCACTGCTGAAGATGATGCACCATCAGGGGGCGGGCCCTTGACACCCTGGGCTCCCAGGAAGTGGGTTGAATGACACTGGGCATCATTCAATCCAGAAGTGAAAGAAAGTGAGTATTGTATGAACATCATTTTCTCTTTTTTTGAAGGGTAGCAAATTGAAAAAAAAAAATCTGGAATTAGTTAAATATATCAACAAGTACTACACAGTACATTCCACATGAAGTGCACATACTAGCTTCAAATTGTTGGCTAAACATTTTAAGGATGACCATTACCGTTATGACATTTTCCTTGCAGGTGACCAAGAAGATTCTCATGCAAGAACTGAAAGAAGAGTTACAACAGCCGGAAAAGTTAGATTTTTCCATCAGCTACATTGGGACACTTTACGGCTCAAGAAATCTTCCTCTACAAGGAACGCTCTCTAATCTCTTACATAACTAAATGTTCTCTGGAATATGAGAACTGCACCCTAAAGTCACTAAGTTAGGGGCCCATCAGTACATAGAATAGTAAAGTGCAGTGTAAAGGAAAGAAAAGTGAATAGTAGTCTAGAGAAGCAAATAAATGGGAAAAGAAAACCATTATGAAATGCAGCAGCTTCTAGGGTCAGCTCACTAAGCAGTAGGAGTTATTGTAGATGTGTTCATTATTTTCTCATGATAGTGGACACAGTGTCTTTATTCAACCTCAAATACTATGTAACTAACACACACTCCGTATATCGAATCACAAAAAGGATGCAGTTTCTTTTCACATGAAAACTTATTTAACTACTGGAAGCTTTTATTTGTAATGTTTCTTGACTGGAAGGAATCTATGCCCCTCCCCCCCTGGGGGTGTGGGAACCAAATGATAGGGGTATAGGACTGGATCTCTGAATAAAAAAAAATGCCAGTGGATTCTCTGTATTATTGATCTTTAATAAAAGTGGAGAAAATCAATCTGATGCGTCAGGTGACATGCAAGCTACATTGTCCATAAATGGATTTCCATTCCATGTTTCAATTGCACAAAAATAAGAGCAAAATCTCACCGATTAAAGCCAGTTTGTGTCTTATGGTTTTCTTTTATTTGTCCTTTTCTACATTTTCTAGCTATTGAAGTTATATATTGGTAACTGATAGGAGTGGTAATGATGATGATTTTATCAGTCTGGTGAAGTGATTGTGGGGAGATTTTGGACAATCCAGCAGGGGTCAGTAATCATATAAAAAGGTTAAAGCCCAACAAAACTTTCAACTAGCTAAATACATCCCAGGTGCATCAAATCTAAGGGTGTTTAAAGTCTTAGGGCTTGTTGACAACATGTCCATTAAGCGGCATTCTTCGGCACACCATCGCACATATATGGTGAACAAGGTACATAGAAAACAATTGCATTTTTTTGCCCTGTTCATGCCATGCATGTGCGGTGCTGTGCAGAAAAATGCAGCTCAGTGAACATGGTGTGAACAAGCCCTTATGGTTTGGTTTCTTCTAAAAATGCAGCCCCAGCCTGGAGCCCTACCAGCATGCAGTAGAGAATCTTGCTCACTGTATGGAAGCAGTGGTCTTTCTGCAGAGGATCAGCATATCCCCTGCTGCTGAGCTAGAGCTCTCCAATCAGCAGTAACCATGAGCATTGCCAATTAGAGAGTTATGCTCCCTGCTGATTGGAGAGCTCTAACACAACAGGAAGTGTGTTATGACATCGAGAGACCGCTGTTTCCACAGAAGGGTCCTTCTCTGCATCATAATTGAAGGGAACCTAACAAAAGGTGTTTCATTGCCCTCAAATTAACATGCAGCTTGAGAGTCAATCAGTGACTCTTTTTTTTCATCAGAAAGGTATGACAGCCCTATCAGAAAGGTATTTTAATAAAAGGCCAGTTACAGCTCCCCAATCCCACCCATGTATTTTTTTTTTACAGATATCTTCTGGCTGGTTATGTGATGTATAGGGTCCTTTTTGCCATTCAGGTAACAAGCAGCCCTCATGGCAAATCCCATTCTCTGCATCACGTGCTGAGTGTCAGGCGCCACAGTGTCACCTTCCGCTGGGGAACTAGTCTACAACACCCTGCAGTCACAGCAAGTCAAGTGCTGTTGGCCTCAATGAACCCAGAAGGAGGCCAGCACTGTATCACCGAGTTGTGAGGCTGCGAAAGACAGCACAGGAGAGGAGGCGAGTACTGCTGTAAGACCGGCTTTAATTGTTTTCCTGTTGCAACGGTTTAATTTATAAAAAGAAGAATAGAAATAACCGGTTCTCCTAATACATTTAAAAATGAAGTAAAGAGACAACACACAGTCCAGCAACTGAGTTTGCAAATTTTATGATCAGCATATGCTGCGTCATGCACTCAAGTAAAATTTTCTGGTGTTACTGCAATTAAAAAAGCCAAATAAAAACATGATATATACAAAAGCAAATATATACAAATATTTACAAATGATACAGGTTTTACAGCTAAAAATTTTGCGGTACAAATATAAAAGACAGCACCAGAATACAACGTTATCCGATCAATAAAAAGATAACTAGTGCAAGTTAGGAGCCTGCTGATGGCATGCAGAGAAGGAAGCTTCAGGAACATCTGATATAACGTCAATCAAATATATCGGTGATGCCCACTGGCTACTGAACATATTCACAAATAGCTGCCATAACTAAAGAATATACAGCCACTGGCTCTATGGAAACGTAGAACAAGAGACGTCACTTCTGCATCTACCACGCTTGCCTCTGTAGTGCCATTTTAAAGGGCCCCTTTACTATTATAGACGGTCACGATCAAGGCATTCCTGTAAGGTTGCAGTGTAAATACTTCCTTTGTCACTGCTCGTCCTGCCGAACGCAGCTCTAATTCTGAGATCCCTTCTGCTGAAGTGTGAAGGTAAAACTGACTCTTCCGGGTGCTTGGAAGGTGGCAAAGGTTCTTCCTGCTGACCGGGTCCTGCAGTGAGTGGGGGTCAACAAGAGGAACCATGGAGAGTGTCAGTACTTCTGTGGACAGCAGCAGAATATTCCTCAGGATCGGAGCAGTGTTCTGCTGCGCAGAGAGCAGGCTAGGTAAGTATTTCACACTGTTCTTTTACAGGTATGGCTTCATTTCCATCATTTAGTATTGGGAAAGGGTCACTTTAAAACAATGAGAGAATTCGGCAAAGTGATGCATCCATGTGGCCAGGAGCAGAAGACTTATTTTTAAGAGTGCAGCCTGAAGATTCAGTAAAAAGCGCGCAGGGCCTCCTTGATTCCCACACACCCGAAGCAAATAATGGAAACCTTTATATAGCAATATGGCAGTATAGCTATTCAGGGGATTAACAAGAACCTATGAGGTTAATATAGGACAAGACTTTGCCGACTTGTTTTTTTTTTAAGATTAAGGCTCCAGGACTTCCATCCTAATGTCATGGCTTTGAAAGTCACTAAACTGTAGCAAGCTGCAACATGACAGATCAGACTTCTCTGGCAGCACGCTTGTTCCAAGTCAGTGACTCGCAAGATAGTAAAGCAAGGATGAGCAGGACAAGGCACCCTCGGCTTCAAAAAGAAGTAGCAACAGTTCCCATCTCTTTGTCCTCCCAGGTTCACTTTAGAGGAAACCTTTCCCGAGAGAAACATGGAGACTACCATTGCTGATTTCTCACTCTGCAATGCCTATCTGTCATACTGAGCCTCTCATACTGATCCAGAACGAGTATACAGATGACATCTGACCTTTCTTTGAGTAACGACTCAAAAGTATTAAAGCCATGGGATCAGCATGGCAGCCAGGCATTCATTATCTTCTGGTTATCAATGGCAGCCTTTGTAGTTCTCGAAGGAAAGGTTTATTTGACTGCAGTGCCACATTTCACCTGCAGGCGGCATCACATAAACATAAAACTGCTATTCCCATGTGCAGAGAATCTGTGAAGTGTGACAGTCAACGAAGGGTACGAGCAATGTGGGAAGTGGAGCAACTTCCAGATCACCGACTACAGGAAACTGAAATCATATGGACTCTTTAAAATGGATGCAGTTTGTATACCATCACTGCTCTTCTGATTAAACCTGTAAGTGTTCCTACAAAAAGCAGCAAATACATTGGAAAAATAAATAAAAGAAACATCTTAACTTTTTGCAGACAAGCATTCTGGGCTGGGGCTGTATAGACAGAATGTGAAATTGACCCTTTTAAACAAGGAGTTCCATCCAACACTGGATTACGGACTGGTCTGCCAGCGGTCTGCCCTGGCACAACAATGTAATAGTAGTGGCATATATAGAACATATCATGCAAGCAACATAAGAAAATGTAACTTCCAAAAATGGGAACATCTTGGTGCCGTGAGATTACTGCACATGGCAAGTCCCCTCCTCCTCCGAGTCATCGTATACAGTCGCCGTATCCATCTTGCCTGGGGTGCCCATTTCTGACAGGCGTCTTTTCGTCCTGTTGTGGGCAGTAAGAGGGGACTGACCATCCATCAGCCTGGAGTTTCCCATCGCGATGGCCTCTATAGTCTTTGTCTGCAATGATAATAAATAATTCTGGTCAGGGAAGACAGCAATGTAACTCTGTTTAGGGTTTCCATGCTCTGTGCTCCACTCAGCCCCAGCCGCTTACTGTAGCTCATCCTGGCTCAGCAAATCCACAGCAACAAAAGTGTGAGCTGCACACCAAGAACAAATCTCACGCATCAACCTTATGGACTAAAAGTCAACTCATAACCCAACTTGCAGAGTGAAACATCAGAAGGACCAAGGATGGGGGTTGAACATTATCTTTTAGTCAATAACATTTCTACACAGGTTTGGTAATTGGTGTGCAGCTTACTACTTCTTTCATTAATGTCACCTTTACATGACAGATAAATGAGTTACCATGGGCCGTCCTCCAAATGTATGGTACATGCAAAGCTACATGACACACAAGAGTGTACAGTGCACATGAAGCACTCACTACACCGATATGCAAGCTTTATTGTCTTTTTATATCAAAGGCTAAAAAACTTTAACATTTTGGATAAAGAAGGTAATGACTTTAACCAGTTGACATCCGCGGTGTTAAACCCCCTTCCCATCCAGGCCATTTTTCAGTATTCAGCGCTGCGGTACTTTGACTGACATTTATTCCGTCATGCAGCGCTGTACTGAAATGAATTTTATACCCTTTTTTTGGGGACAGATAGAGCTTTCTTTTGGTGGTATTTATTCACCACTGGGGGTTTTATTTTTTTACTATATTAAGGAAAAATTACCGAAATTTAAAAAAAAAAAAAAAGTTGAATGCACTAACGCAGAACTCCAGGAAAAATCTATTTTAAACCTTAGACTGGGCTACCATAGTTACCTGTATTCAGGGATGCACCCAGGGGCGTAACTAGAAATCACAGGGCCCCATAGCAAAATTTTGTATGGGGCCCCGTGATTGCTAGTCATGCCACTTGCAGAGCCCCAGCGGAGAGTGACCCTGCAGAGCCCACCATAGACTCTCTATAGTGGGCTCTGCAGGGTCTGAGATCTCTTACCTGTCAGCGCCTCTGTGGTTGTCGGGCCCCGCCTCCTCTTTATCAACGGGCCCCGCCTTCTCTTACATCACTGGCCCCACCTGCTCTTAGGTTGCTGGCCAGTGGTGTAAGAGGAGGCGGGGGCCGCCTCCTCCATTCCGAACACCGCCCTCATCTGCCGCAGCGGCTATGAGGGGAAATGCGCCGTGGCTGCTGCATCTGTGACAGCCAGCGCCCCCACATGGCATAGCGACCCAGGCCGGGCCCCCCTGTGCCCGGGCCCCATGGCGATTGTTACGCCACTGGATGCACCGATGCTAGTATCGTTATCACTGCCGATACCGAGTATTTGGGCGAGTACCCGTTCTCCCCAAATGCTCCGATGCCTAGCCCAATACTTCCGGTATCAGGAAGCCGGGCAGCGAGTCATTACACGCTGCTCGGTTTCCTGATTGGCCGGGAAGCCGGCTCCATGCTTCGTCAGTGACCAGGAACCTCATGACGAGGGAGCATGGAGACGGCTTCCCGGGCATTCAGGAAGCCGGGCGCTGCGTCATTACACGGCGCCCGTTTTCCTATTGGCCAGAAAGCTGAATCCATGCTTTCTCCTCACCGAGTGGCGGGAAGCATGGAGACAGCTTCCCTGCTAATCGGGAAGTCGGGTGGCGAGTCATTACACGCCACCTGGCTTCCTTAATGGGACTTCCGGTATCACACGGTAAAACAATATCGGTACTCGGTACCGAAAAACTGGTATCGGTGCATCCCTACTTGTAATGATTCATATGCAACATCTGGGGAAGGGGTGGGCAACTTCTTCCCTTCAGCTGTGCTTTAACTGGAAATCCCAGTAGGGGGTCTTTTGCATGTCACTTTTGGCACTTACAGCTCTTCATAACGTTCTGTACACATTGTATAGGATGAGAGGACGCTGAGGGACATTCCAACGCTGCAGTAGAGGAAGAGACTGTAAGAGGGAGCGCTATCATAACCGGCCGGCTCCAGGGATCAGGTGAGTAGAACTTTATTTTTCTCCCTAAACACAACCTGCACTTAACCTTTGCCATGTGAGGGTAGCCCCACTGCAAGGGTAAATCATTTTCCCTGGAATTCTTCTTTAAAGCTTTGCCCGATTGTGCAGAGATTTGGATGTTGCAGACACATCATACAGTAAATGACAGGTACTCTTAATACAGACACTTGTGCCATGTCTTTACATGTATATTGCGAGTAAAGAATTAACAGATGACTAGACTCACCTCCTGTGATTTGCTGCCCCCTGGTGTTGGACTGGAGAGGTCACTAAGGTTCTCCAGATTGTTGAAATGTGCACCGAAGAGGGATGGGGAATTTTTCTGCGAAGCCAAGCGGGGGCTTTTCCGCAGAGGCACGGTTGTCCTTCGAAGGACAAAGGGGCTCTGCTTTCCTGATGGGATGTTGGCAAAACCTGGAAAACACCAGCAGAACCATGAATATAAATTGAATAATGTGTATAGAGATAGGACAGAATGCTGGTACAGCAGATCATCCATTACCATATAATGACCTTTCATGCGAGCAATAAAATGTCATAAGGGAGGTGTGTGGGCCAACTTTGTTGGCCTCCTAAAATCTTGTTCCCTGGCTGTGTCTGGCTCTCAACTCAAATTTATCCCAGTGACAAGTCCCAGGGGGACACAAAAATACCCAGAGAGGTTCAAAACTGTCCCTACTCTGGAGGTTTTTCCCCCAAAGCAAGCCGAGCATGGGAGGTGCACTTTTGTGCCCATTTCAGTTGGACAAGCAAGCCCCTCGGGGTGATATCGCTGTTGTACGGTACTGCTCAACATTCTGCACCAAGGTTTGGATGAGTTTGTCTTCACCCACCATGCTTATTACATCTACAAGCCTGGAAATACTGGTACATACCCTCTCTCACAATGTCTGGAAGTCCATCAAGTTCAAACTCCTCTTGCTCTGCCAGGGTATCAGATGTTCTCTTTACTTTCTTGGTGACACACTGGGGGGTTGAAGGTGCGCTCCCCGTGTTATCAGAGTCTCTCTGCCGCTTATTAGTTTGTTTCCCGGGACATTGTGTGGATCTCCTGCTCTTCCGGGTTCTCCTCTTGGCTTCAGGTGATGGTTTGTCTGAAACTGAAGGTGGACAATCCTCAGGTATAGATTTGTCTGAAACTGAAGGTGGACAGCCTCGAGGTAATGGCTTGTCTGGTACTGACGGTGGACAATCTTGAGGTAATTGCTTATCATGTATTGAAGGTGGACAGCCTCGAGGTAATGGCTTGTCTGGTACTGAAGGTGGACAGCCTCGCTCTTCCTTAACTTGTAATCCTTTCAGCCTTGAGTTCAGGAAGTCCACCTGTTTTCTCAACATGTCATTCTTCTCCTCCAGTTTGTGCGTCTTAATCATTAGGTTACAGTATTTCTCAATGCTATCATCGGCCTCTTGTGCCTTCTCTTCCAAACACTGCTTCAGTTCCTCGATTTCGGAGAACGGGTCATTTGTACTGGTGTCCATTCCTTCCTCTGGATTGGGGGAAATATAAAGTTATAGAAATTTTTCAAAAAAACCCCCCAAAGTTGTAGCTATATAGTGGAAGACTGAACATGGTTATAACAATTTAACAAAGTCTTCGGCCGCCCATCCATCGCAGATTAATACTCAAATGTACGGGAAACAGAAAAACAGTGCGCCTCTATAGTGGAGAAGACTTTATTAAATGAGAATTGTTACCAAGCAAGAAAGGTACTCACAAAAAGCCTGTAGTGTGCAGAGGTGAATCTGCACTGAATGAACATCAGATGTCAGTCACAACAGGATCTGCAATAGAAGCAATCCTCCTTCTGCTAACATGACAGGCACGGTTAACGCGTTTCCGAGGCGATACGCCTTCAACCGGAAATTTGTGATGTTCTGGCGAAGGGAGTATCGCCCTGGAAAAGAGGATTAGAGGATTGCTTCCATCGCAGGTCCTGTTGTAACTGACATCTGATGTTCATTTAGTGCAGATTCACCTCTGCACACTACAGGCTTTTTAACATCGGCTGCTTGTGAGTACCTTCCTTGCTTGGTAACAATTTTCATTTAATAAAGTGCTCTACACTAGAGAGGCACACTGTTTTCTCCGTTTCCTGTGTGCTAGACCTCGGGCACCCTGACTGTTTCAAGTGCTGCCCAGTTGTGAGAAGTTCTGATGTCCACACACCTTTGGCGCCAGTGACTTTGTTGTTATAATACTCAAATGTTTTTAAACCTAAACTTTACATAGATATAAAAAGATAGAAATTAAAATAACAACCCCCCCCCAGTCTGTCCGAAGTGCACGCTAACGGCTGCGTGCATTCACCTCCACTGTGTCTCTCCTCCCCGCCAAAGAGCTCTACTGCGCATGTACCCGCCCCATCCTCCTGCACGGCCGCTCGAGAAGCTCCAGATCTTCAGACCGGAGTGAGCACCAGAGACACAGGTAAGTATTTACCCATTTGGTAACTTTATGTTTTTGCATCTATCTACTGCTTACTAGCAGAGTTTAATTGTACTTTAATGCAACTCTATAATGTATAGATATAGATCCTTAAATCTATTTTTTAAGTGCAAGGAGTTTAAGTACCTGGTATCAACCTCTTGCAATCCCTGTACAGCAGGGCTGGAGTTTCAGAGGGAGAAGCAGCACAAGGTGTCAGTCATTTCATGTGCCGACAAGGAGCATGTTGATGTGAGGAGTGATTGAGAGATAAGCTCATCACTGTGCTGCTTTTCCTTTTACTGTCCAGTCACGGGCTGGGATGACCCGGGTTCAGAGGAAGTGGGTTGAATGATGCTGGTTATTAGACTGAGGACATCTCATTTGTATTGTTCTTGGGTCCATGCTGGAGAGATTGACTTTCTCTATTCATCCTGGTGACCACTGTCACTAAAAGAGGGAAAAACCTAAAATTTTGAGTTGCCACCAGAACACAAGTAGGAAGAATATCTTCCAATGCGGACACGTGTTAAGGTGACATCTAAGAGGAGATTTACCTCTCTTTGCAGAGATTTCCTCTGACTTCCTGTTGAATCTACAGGACAGCAAGTGAAATATCTCGAATGGGACACAGATGGAACGAGTTTAATGGTTTCCCACCCTATCCAAAATGAGTAGGAAAGGCTTTAGATATACTGTACTTTAAAAGAGTTTGTCACTTTCCTCTAAGGAAGCTCATCCACCAACCTACTTCTACACTGGCCTGACACTCCATGAGAGGTCTTTGTAAATTCCCGGTGCCTTCAGGTATGGGGAGAATCTAACCTTTTCTCAGGATGCAGTGCTCCGGAATAAGTGGTCAATCGCCAATCCCAAACACTGTCATTTGACGTAGGGGAGGGCATCATCCACCTTGCGTAGGCTCGTGCCTTGCTGTGGTTTTGTTCAGCCATTAGTACATGGCAGGGCGTAATTTACTATTCATAACAGGGGCTTTCTCCAAAAAGCCAAATCAGACCGCTGCCTTTATTCTCCAACCTGCACAATTATGGTATAGGCTTAAATCGAAGAGTTACCCCCTTTCACTAAAAATCACAACAGAATGCAGCTCTGCATGCGGATATTAAATCATCTGACATTCATTAGTTAAACATACTTATTTTTTTACTTACAACTATTGTTTTTCCTTCCTGGTCCTCTTGGACATTAGTGATGTAATCTGTGCCCAAGAGTTGCATCCCAGGAAGGTTACATCAGTAGAGCATTGCTTGGAAATCTCACGAGATCTCAGGGATTGCTTGGATATCTCACGAGATCTCAGGGAAAGGCATTTCCCCCCCCGGAGATGATGTGCATGGTCACATGTCCTAGAGTTCCAGGCAGTAAAGGGAGATGGATTCATCTACCCTTAGTAAAAATGGCCATTGTGAGAAGAATGGGTAGGAGAAGAGAAAAAAAGGGATGCACAGAATAAAAATCTGGCAATTACCTATAAGTATCTGTTTGTAGATTGTCATTACTGAACATATATCAAGGCGTTTTGTGCGGTCATTTTAAAGATTTGGGTAAAGGTCAGCTTTAAAAAAGGAGAACTATGAGGAGATGAGCGAAAATCACTCATCCTCATAGTTCGAGCCGACGTGCGACAATGAAACGGTCACACGTCGGCTCAATAGATCGGGAAGTGAGCGAACTCGATCATCTCCCTGCAGAGAGCAGTGATGGCTCCCTGCAGGGATTCCCCACTCCTCCAGTGCTGACGGGGGAGGGGGCGGGTACAGCTGGCTCTGTCTTTAGATAGGCAGAGCCAGCTGTCACTCATGTAGCTGGGTGGATCTCGACAGTAATGTCAGGATCCGTCCCGGCTGCAGCGGTCTCAGTATACCGCGAGCTGTAGCTCGCTATATACTGAGCTTTGGGTCGCAGGAGGAAGCTACTATATGTCCTCACGTGACCCTTAAGAGAACTATGGGGAAAAACACTAACCCCATAGTTCTCTTTTAACTAGTTGAAGGACTAGAAAGGAGGTCTGTTGTGGAACATGTTACAGCTGAAGTCCAGGCACAAAAGACTTTCATGCAAACATATTTCTGAATAGCGCCAAAGGATATAAATCCACTTTGTTTGCAACTAATGCCCTTGTAAACCCAAATATCTTGTATAAGTAGCAGTGACATCTAGGGCTGCAACAACTAAACCGACTAAGTCGATTAAAATCGATGATTGAAAAGGTTGTCAACGTTTTCAATCATCGATTTAATCGGCTTTCGATTAGTTGGCCCTGTTCACGGCTCCACACACGCTGCGCGCAGCACCTCCTGTCCGCCTCACGGAGCACCTCCTGTTCGCCTCACGCTTGCCGCTGCCAGACCCACCCGCCCGCATCCACACGCCGCACCTCCCCGCCCACATCCACGATCGGCACAGGGACGCGGGGAGAAGTAGTAAGGAGAAGTACGCTGTATAGAGGACTACAAATCCCAGCAATAATACATTATACAGCGCAATGCGGAATACCTCCAGCTATAGAGGACTACAGAACCCAGCAATAGTACATTATACAGCACAACGCCAACTATAATGTACTATTGCTGGGATTTGTAGTCCTCTATAGCCGATGTCATTCTGCATTGATTGCTGTATAATTTTACACTTTACATTTCACTATATTGCACACCACACTTTTTTTCTTTTCATACTTCCACCACTCCAAGCTTGCTCCTGTGATGGACTACAATCTCAATACAAACTAGTAGTCCTATCACTGGAGCCATTTTTTTAAATCCCAATTAACTAATCTATTTTGAAAATAATCGTTAGCTGCAGCTCTAGTGACATCATTACTGTTCTGTACATAGTCCGTGCAAAGAGCAGAGTTGTGTGAGGGACCCAACAGGCTCCACCCACTACAAGCTGCCTGCAGAAAACTACAGCAGGGGGCGGAGACAAGACCAGTCACCCTGCACAAAGAGAGAGAGCAGCAGTGACCGGTCTTTATTGCAGGAACCTCCAAGTTTCATACTGGATCACTGCACATATCTGGAAGAAATACACAAAGCACACCAAGATTCAAAGAATAATACACATGCCTTTTCTTTTTACATCGTGTTTGTTTTTCCTTAAGGTCTGCAGCTCCTCTTCTTGTTGTGCGATGTGTTTCTTGAGCTCTTCTTTCTCCTGTTCCAGCTGTTTACATGCATTCACCCAGTGATTGAGGGCTTCAGAGGCTGCAGGGCTCTCCTTTGTCAAGAGATCAATACCAGCCTTCAAAAAGAATCAATAAGTTGTAATAAGAACATAGAGAGAACCTGTGAGGACAAACATATGGAAGCTGTGATTAAAAAGGAGAACTATGGGGTCAGTGTTTTTCCCCATAGTTCTCCTTAGGGTAACGGGAGGACACAAACTAGCGTCCTCCCGTCACCCTAAGCTCAGTATACCGTGAGCTACAGCTCGCGGTATACTGAGACGCCGCAGCCGGAGCGGATCCAGACTTAGAAGACGGGATCCGCCAAGCTGCGTGAGTGACAGCTGGCTCTGCCTATCTAGAGGCAGAGCCAGCTGTACCTGCCCCCCTCCCCGGTCCGTTCCGCCAGTCAGCGCTGGCAGATCGAAGCGGGGAGAGGGGAATCCAGCCCCTCCCCCTGTCACGGCAGAGAGCCGTGACAGGATCGAGAGGTGAGCGAACCCGGTATGTGTTCGCTCACCTCCCGATCTACTGAGCCGACCTGTGACAGTCTCATTGTCACAGGTCGGCTAGAACTATGAGGTGAGTGAAAAGCACTCATCTCATAGTTCTCCTTCAAGGACTTACTTTCTCCTTCAGTTTTGTTATTTAGTAATAAGTAACTAATCTTTAAAAAGTACAGCTGGTACAAGTGCTAGAATCGGTCTTTATATTAGCTTCCTGTAGAGCAGACTGGGACTAGCTAGTCCAGCACTGTTAGCCAATCAGGTTTTACTACACTCCATACTAATGGCAGTCTAACTGACAGCTATCTGACAGATGAAGAGACCATAGCTTCTTCAGGGTGGAGCGTGAGAGAGAGAGAGAGCGCTGTAGGTGTGGTCACCCTCCTCTTTGTGCTATCTGGATTGCAGGACTAGCTGAACAAAATGACCATATACAAAAAACACATTCAAATATTTCAACCAAATTTGATAGGAAAAACACGGCAACCTACCACTGATGTTTTCATCATTTTATGGTTTTGATAGAAATTATCGGTGGCAGGTCGCCTTGAAACATTCTGTGATTTTTACAATCAAAAGTTGGCTTTGCCACAAAACAGCTTTTTGAATTGCCAACATAAGAAATGAGACTTGAGCTGGCCATAGATGGTTACGATTCTGGCCAATTCAGAAGAATCGACGGAAAATCTTACAGTGGGGGCCCAGTCGGTTCAACAAAAGTCAATTACAGAATTAGCTTTTGCCGAAGATATTCAGCCAATCAGCGGCAGTCGCTGGTCATGTATTCTGACATCGGTGGGCACTGGCTGCCATAATACAATAGCCTGGCAGGGGAATTCCTCCATCCACATGGTTTAGTGTAAATGGAGAAATCTGTTAGATTTTTTTTAGTTCAGCCTGCGGACAGAATAAACCAATCTAATAGTGTACGGCTTCATCAGCCATAGAAAATCTCACCGCTCCAATTCCTTAGCCACCATCAGGACTCCCCAGGTGCTGGTCTAATAGGTGCATCTCCACCTTAGAATGCAGCAGTATACAAACAGACCGCACTCTCCAGAGAATTCCAATACTGCAGACTTTATTGAGATTCACAGCAAATCCAGTATATCAGTGAATAAAAGTGTAGCTGGTTGGGGGGTGTGCAGTGCCGGCATTTGTTGCTTTATACACTTTTATTCACAGATATACTGGATTTGCTGTGAATTTCAATAAAGTCTGCAGTATTGGAATTCTCTGGAGAGTGCGGACTGTTCGTATACTGCTGCTTCATCAGCCATGCTGCAATTCTTGCCTTAAATTTTCATCAAAATCAGAAAATTGCGGATGTCTGGAATGCCAAATGTACAATTACCTGCAGCCCTGCCATCTGATCCTGGGCTTTACACACCACCACATTGCTACTCGCTTTCAAGCCATCAATCTCCTGAATCTGGGCAGCGAGAAGTCCATCCATGGAGGTCAGCTTCTTCTGGTAACCACTTACGTCTTCCTACAAGGAACATAAAATACATCAGAAAAGGAAACCGGTGAGAGGAGATAAAGGAAAAATAAAAAAAAAGCAGGACAGGGGTGGTGGTGGGATTCCTCTAATCACTGTTCATCATATACAGTCTGACTTGATGCTTCACTATTACCCGTTTCACTGCCTCATCCAGAAGTGATTTGTGGAGGGACTCCGCCTGAGGACTCCGTTCATACTCCATTATATCATTCTTCTGTGTCATTGTCTGCGATTTCAGTTCATTTCGCAGACTTGTAATGGTTTCTTTCAGTTCTGTGATTTTAGACTTGGTTGAATGGAGCGGAGTCTAAACAGAGCAGAGCAGTGTCAGATGAAAGACCGCATCACACATCTTATATTTGCAATTCATTGGTCAGCAAAACAAATTTAAAGGGGGAATGTCGGGGAACACAAAATCACTGGCTAATATACATAGGACCAGGCCATGTGTGCTTTACAAGGCTTCAACAAAGCTCCTGAAGCTGGCCGAATGCTTTGCAGACGCTTCATGAAAGCTTGCTGTACACATGCTCAAGTTGAAGCTGAAGCCTGTGTGTGATTGGCCTTAGATATACTTTACTTTAACACTCATACTTAAAGTGACAGGACTTAAACCTTAAAAATTAATTCAAGTACCTTAACGATTAACAAAAATCTATCTTGTGTATCACTCGGCTGTAGATCCCCAAACCATCTCTGAATTGGTGCTGACACTGTCCTTCCTTCTGGAGGGGGGCTACTTTTGTTCCCCATGGTCCCGGTGAGTGTTATAAAGAAGGCACCGCTACAAGCTCACTGCTGTGACAGAATACTATCTCAGTACAAATTAGAAAACTAAAAAGGTGAGATTGTAGTCCATTACGGGAGTGGCCTTTGAGCGGTGGCTATTCTACAACACACACAGGGACCATGGGGAACACTAGTAGCCCCCCTCCAGAAGGAAGGACAGTGTCATCACCAATTCAGAGATGATTTGAGGTTCTACAGCCGGGTGATACACAAGATACATTTATGTTAATAGTTACGGTACTTGAATTGATTTTTAAGGTTTAACTCCTGAGTTTCATGTCACTTTAACTGTTCCAAGTAGAAATGCAGCGATACCGATACTAGTATTGGTATCGGTGCCAACACAGAGTATTTGGACAAGTGCTCATACTCGCCCAAATGTTCCGATACATTCCCCGATGTTGGAAACTTCCGGTCAGAGGAAATCAGAAAGTCAGTGCCTCGGTGGAACATGGAGCTGGCTTCCCGCCCAATCAGCAAGCCGGGCGGCGGGTAATGACACCCTGCCCAGCTTCCCGATTGCCCAGTAAACCGGCTGCATGCTATCAGAGGTACAGGTATCGGCACTCTGCATCGGCGAAATATAAATATCGGTACTCGTACTCAATACGGAAAAACCAGTATCAGTGCATCCCTAGTTCTAAGTCACATGCAGAAAACAGCCGATATGAGCATTTCTAGCAACAGAAACATGGAGTCACTCACGCTATTCTCCTCATATAGTTGCTTGATCCTCTGCATCTCATCCTCCAGCCCCTTTCTATCTTGGCAGCTCTGATCTTCAGCAGTTTTGATGTGCAGATCAGCATCATGCAATTTACTTTGGAGATTGAAACAATTTTCTGTCAGTTCAGCCACCTGCATTATAACAAAATAAGAAGAGAGGCATTTGCAGCCGGCGACAGAAACGTATAATGGAAGAATCATGACCGCAGCACAAGAATGATGGATCAAAGAGCTACACAGAGCAGGGCGATTTATCACAGAACACCCAGATTTACATTCCAACACCCCGGGGAAGAATACATATTATAGAATAGCTGCTTTTGATCAAATACATTTGGGAAATAATGCACATACATAATATAGTTGTGGAAAAAAAAATCTTCAGCAGCTTTACAAAGTTCTGTGGCAGAGTCGGACAGTTGCACTCTGTGATGATGATAATTTTGGCAGTCTGGTGAAGGGGGTATAGGGAGATACTGAACGATCTATTGTGGCATCAGTAATTGTAAAAAGGTTAAATCCCAACAGAACTTGAAGTTTTAACTAGCTATATACATTCCATATGCATAAAAAAATGGGATTTTAAAGTGACATTAAACCCTCAGATTTTATAACATAAAACAATACTGTAATGTGCGCCTTACTGTAATCCATGGTTGTTTCCCTTCTCTTTGCTGCTCTTCCTTTTAAATCTGTATCTGTTCTCATGCTCTGTAGAACTTCTGTTTTGCAGCAGACTGCCTTGTCTCAGGAATGGATACACGGTGTCTGTGTATCCGTTTCTATAGGTTTGTAACCTAAGCCAGCACTACAGGAAGAGGCCCTGAGCTGAAAAGGGAAGTCCTCCCCAAGCATGAGAAGACATGAGAATTTAAAAGGAAGAGCAAAGAGAAGGGAAACAACCATGGATTACAGTAAGGCGCACATTACAGTATTGGTTTATGTTAAAAAATCGGAGGGTTTAATGTCACTTTAAGTCTTAAGCTGGCCATACACCTATAGATTATCTGCAGACTTTCTATGGTCAGATGGAAAAAGTGCAACAGATTCCTCCAACTACGCTAAACTGTGTGGACGGAGGAATCTCCCACTGGGCCAAGCTTCAGTATCTTGCTAGTCGGCCCCGCTGGCTTTTAAAATACCTGAACAATCTGATTGTATGCAGGCATTGTTCAGGTATTTTGATAGCCAGCGGGGCCGAAGGTGCATGTCCAGCTTTACAGTTTGTTTCCTTATGAAAGCAGACACAACCTGAATAGAAAGCCCTGTTCCCTGCCAGCATGCAGCAGAGGATTCTTGCTCAGTGCCTGGAAGCAGTGGTCTCTCTGCAGCTTTGACACACCCCCCGCCCAATTAGAGCTAGAGCTCTCTAATCAGCAAAGCTCATGCTTTCTGTAGGAGGTTATGGAGTCAAATTTAGGTACTTATTCTAGCTGTATGTAAAAAAAGATCAAAATTGTACTTTCAATGCAGTTACCCTGTAATCTCCAAGTCTTATACTAATCTTTCCCCGCTCCTGTAGGATCTTTGCTGTGCGGCCCGCCAGGGTGATTGTCACCAGTAGACAGTGAGTGGTGCCTCAGCGCTTTAGCAGCAATGCATCAGCACCTTCATGAACTCTGGTGAAGACCTGAGGCACCTGGTTGAGGAGGGAGTAAGGAACTTCTGTGACTCAGGATTCACTAGCCGTGACAAAAGGTCTCCGAGGAGCAGTACTAAATGCACACTTATCCTCAGGGCTTGAAAAAAAGTTTAGGGCATCTCACCAGTCAGTGAAAAATTTCACCAGTCAGCATGACCAGCCTATAGCTTTGCAATTTATGTTAATTTTTTTGGGGACAGATAGGACTTTCTTTTGGTGGTAATCACCACTGGGGGGGGGGGGGGGAAATCACCACTAGGGGGGGGGGATTGTATTTTTTTTAACTATATAATGAAAAAATGTCATGTGAATTTTGAAAGAAAAAAAAAAAGGAAAAAAAAAGTTTTCCCTATGTTATGTTAAACATTACCCATATTTTTGGTAAAATATAAAAGACGGGGTCACGTCGGGTAAATAGACACCAAACATGTCAATGCCTTAAAATTGCACGCGCCCACAAAATCGCAAAAAACAACAACACTCAAAATTGGCCATGGTCGACTCTTTAAATGCTTTTACTGCTCATCAGTTTAGTGTTCTCAGCGATTAATGGCCCTAAAATTATTGCTCTCACTCATTTGCGGTGATATGCAACATGTGCGGCACAATAGGTGCAATCGTCACAGGCACACCCGACGCTTGTTTGTGTGTGTATGTGGGGGACGGGGGACTTAAAAATGTTAGTGTTTAAAAAAAAAAATGTCATTACTCTTTTTTTCTTACACTTAACTTTATTGCTATCACATAGGGGGGATAAGAAGCTCCCTATGTGATAGCCAATTTACATGACAGGTCCTCTTTATGGAGACATCATGGGTCTCCAAGACCCCTAATGTCACCTAGGGACTCCCAGAGAAGCTGATGAAGCAGAGATCTGCTTCATCTGCTGGGAATGACAGCAGAATGCGGAAGTGATGTAATATACATCACTTCCTGCATTTGGGGACCAGAGAGGAGATCAGAGGGAGACCGTGTACTGAGCTCCCTTTGATTTCCTGTCACAGATCAGCCGTGCCGGTCCCAGCGAATCTCGGGACCGGCAACGACGGCGGGGGGAAGCGCAGCTAATACAAGCGATCAGGCGTCTGTAGAGATGCCCGATCACTTGAATGTAAATGGAATGGAAGCTACTTGTGCGGCTCCAGCGTTTTTCTAACCCTGGTAATCCTTTAAATGTCTCTCATGGAATACAAAAATTACATTAAATTCTTACATCTAGTTGGAGTTCTAATCTAAAATGATGAGGTTGTGTACAGCATAAGCTAGTAAAGCGCTCTAGAAATGAGAATTATTTGCAGTTACTTCCAATACACACACATCAATAAAAGACCAAAACACATCATACCTTTTCTAGAAGTGTTCTTTTCTCAGAATTTGCCGATTCCAACTGTGTTCCCAAATTATTGCAGGATGTTTGGAGGTCAGAGATGATGGCCTGGAGAGAATAATTCCCTGCTGACATTGTCTGTAACTCGTTTTCCAATTCTTCCAACCTTGACAGCAAATTCATCTTTTCACTTATAAGATTTTCTGTTACCTGTTTCAATTGAGAGCATTCGGAGGAGCATTTTGATTCCCACTCTTCTGAGTCTGTACGTTGGGTCTCAAGGGCCATGAGATGCTGTGTTTTTTCAGCTAGTTGGAGCTTACATTCTTCTACTTCTAGGGAGAGTTTATCTATAGATTGCTTGAGGTCACAGCTGGCTACCTGGGCTTCTTCCAACTGTTGTACTAACTGTGCTTTCTCTTGTTCCATCTTAATTGTGATTTCAGCACATTCGACTTTAACCGCTTCACATGTCTGGTCGGAAAGGGCTTTTTGCTCACGCATGTCATTCATTTGAGCTTGAATCAACTCAAGTTCCTTCTCAGAACTTTCTCTAAATTGCGTATGCTTTGCTTCTCCTTTTTCAAGTGTTTCTGTAAGAGTAATGATGGTAGTTTCTAATTCAATGACTCTTGCCTGACTATTCTGAAGGCCATTTTCTACATCCACAAGTTTTCTCCTTAACATATTCAACTCTTCTTCCACGGCTTCTTTTTGTGACTTTAAGCATTTTGCTTCCTCCTTAGAACTTTCTAACTGTGCTTTCTCTTGTTCCATCCTAGCTGCGATTTCAGCACATTCAACTATAACTGCTTCATATCTCTGGTCAGTAAGGGCTTTCTGATCACGCATGTCATTCATTTGAGTTTGAAGCACTTCAAGCTCCTTCCCAGAACTTTCTCTAAACTGACTATGCTCAGCTTCTCCTTTTTTAAGTGTCTCTGTAAGAGTAAGGATGGTGGTTTCCAGTTCATTTACTTTTGCCTGGCTATTCTGAAGGTCATTTTCTACATCCACAAGTTTTCCCCTTAACATTGTCAACTCTTCTTCCACGTTGTCCTTTTGCAACTTTAAGCATTTTGCTTCCTCTATTGCAGATTCAGACTGTGCTCTCTCTTGTTCCATCCTAGCCGTGATTTCAGCACATTCAACTAGAACTGCTTCACATCTCTGGTCAGTAAGGGCTTTCTGCTCACACATGTCATTCATTTGAGTTTGAAGCATCTTGAGCTCCTTCTCAGAACCTTCTCTAAACTGACTATGCTCAGCTTCTCCTTTTTCAAGTGTCTCTGTAAGAGTAAGGATGGTGGTTTCCAGTTCAATTACTTTTGCCTGACTATTCTGAAGGTCATTTTCTACATCCACAAGTTTTCTCCTTAACATATTCAATTCCTTCTCCAAGGCTTCTTTTTGTGACTTTAAGCATTCAGCCTCCTCCTGAGCACTTTCTGTCTGAAGGATAGCATTTTCCAAATTCTCCTCAGTCATGACCAGCTCTCGTTCCAAAGACTCGATCTTATCATTGAGACTGTCAAATTTCCTCTCGCTGTCTTTTAGTTTCTCAATGGTTTGACGTTTTTTCTTTTCATCCGACTCGATTTTAACTTTGAGCTTTTCAATTCCTGCCCGCATGAGAGCCACTTCTTCCTGAGTAGAGTTCAACCGGGTGGCCATTTCATGTTTCTCCACCTGGCAGCGTTCCAGCAAGCGAGAGAAATCATCCTTTTGCCTATTAGAGTAACTCAGCTGAGTCTCCAATTCTTGTTGTTCATGAGAAAAGAGTTGCTTCTCCTCTTGGATTTGCTGCACCAGATTTTGAAGCTCCTGAATTTGCAAATTTGCATTTTCTCGTAAGAGAACCATGTTGTCTCGTTCTAATGTTAACTCTGCTGTGGTCGATTTTGCCACCTCAAGCTCCTGTTTTAAGGTTTGTATATCAGCTTCCAATATCTTTATGAGCTCTTTGGAGTTTTCCATGTTATATTCCAACTCTGTTTCCCTTTCCTTTAGCTTTTTGTTGATTTGTTCAAGTTCTTCCTTTTCTTCCACCAAGCTCTGAAGCTCCTGAGTTAATTGGTTTTTATCTGCCTGGACTCCTTTCAGAACTTCTTCCAAACCATTAAGAGATCTTAAATGGCTTACGCTCTCCTCTTGCAAATGTTGACATTTAGACTGAAGGGACTCCACATCTGCTTCTAGAGACAACGCGTAATTATCGATATTTGCTTTCCCCGATTTCGATCTTCTCAACTGATTTTCAGCCTGAAGATAGCTTTCTTTCCATTTCTCATTTGACAGCTCTAAACCATCTCTTATTCCTGATAACTCTAAAACATTAGTCTTAAGCAGTTCTGTCGCACTCAAGGTTTCATGAAGAGCTTTTTCAAGGTCATCAATTCTGTTTGATGACTGCAGTTTCTCAGTGGAAATCAAGTCAATTTTATTCAACAAATGAGATCTTTCATTTTCTAATTCCTTTGTTTTTTGTTCTAGTTCTTGGTTTTGGCCCTCTTTAATGCCAAGTTCTGTCTTGTGTATTTCAATTTGCAAAGAGAGCTCCTTCATCTCCATTAGCAAATGCTGATTAATTTTAATAAGTTGAAGTTGCTCTTTTTCGCTTGAAGACTCTGCAGTCTTTAACTGGGAATGCTCAGAAACATCTTTACCTTTTGGCTGGTCTGCTGTGTTAGTTTTTCTTTTCTTTCTTTGCCTAGAAGACCTTCTTTTTCCTTTGTTTTCAATGACTTCCTCTTTGCGTGTCTCCTCTGGGCTTTCTTCAGAATTATTTTCGGAGCTTCCCTGGCCTTGCTTTGGAGTTTCACATTTCTGGGACTCGCTGTCAAGCGAAAGTCTTCCAATGGGTAAAATGGTGCAGAGGCTTTGATTGGTGGCATCAAGCCTTGTAGTTAACTAATTAGGAAAGATTAAAAAAAACACATGAAATTAAGACAACAAAGCGCTAGGGATTGGTCTAACCTATTCTCACACCTGTACATTTTATGAAGGCAAGATTACTCTCTTTAAAAGGTCTAGTTAAAGGCTAAGTCCACCAAAAACTTGTCACTTTATCTGTGGGTGGATGTTGGTGAGCTAAAACATCAGCCTGTTCCCCGTTACTTTCATCTCTGGGACTCCAATGTGAGATTTCCCTGCAGAAGTTAGTCTGTGCCACAACCCACAAGACTGCTAAGAGGGGGTTCATCTATTGTAACTGGACTCGAGGTAACTGTGTACTCTGTGCATTATAAGGAATCAATACATAAACATATGTGTAAGCTATTTGGAATTAAATAGACAATATTTCAACTATAGAAAGGCAGACTGCTGAGACATTAATGGCATATAGTATGGCACCATTTAACCTTTCTGCAATCAAATCACTTTATTAAGTTTAACGCAGAGCCAAATCTCCCTTTAAAATAGCTCACATGCATACTTACATCTTCACTATCAAACAAGAGAGAGCGTGCACTTAAATCGAGGACTTGGAGTTCAAGCCTTGCAGCCTCCAATTCTTGTGACAACTGGTCACTGCGAGCCTTCTCTTCCAACAGCTTTGCTTCCATATCGGATGCTTGATCGTTTAATTTCTTTTGCCATGTTGCAATGTCAGCTAAATATTGTTTTTGCAGGTTACCCAGCTCTACCTGATAAACTGTAAGCACGTCTTTCACACTGCAAGGGTCTTCGCTGGTCAAACGAGAAAATAAAACCTGTTGCTCCTCAGGGGCTTGCTGGAGAATCAAGTCAACAAGTTGACCAGAAATAGATTTTCTGTCTCTTGTCACTTTTCCACCAGTTTCATCACTGTGGACTTTAAGAGTTGGAGAGCTAAAAGGTGACAGGGATGCAGTGTGCTGGTCCTGAATTTGGCTCAGTTCCAGGAGCTGAGACAATGACTTTGTAACATCATCTGTGCTCGTCAAAGTTAGCTGATCTAGATTTATCAACAAGGTCTGGTTCTCTTCGCGGTGCTGAGGTTCCAGTGATAAAGGAAGGGTCTCTTCATTTATGTCCCCAAGTATTTTACTAACACTATCATCAGCAGACAAAGAATCACAATCAGACAATATGGTCTGATTTCCATCCATAAGAATATTCATTTTCTTCTCTTTCAAAGCTTTGGAGCTTGGTACAGTTTCTTGCTTGCTGCTTGGGTCAATATGGCTCTTAACACCTTTGCTTGGTGAATTGTGAAGGCTACTGACACACTCACCAATATCTCCTACAGAAATTGATTCAATTTTACAATCCATTTTCAGAGAATCTAACTGAGCCTGAAGTTTCTGCAAAGACTTTTCTTTGTCCTGCAAAGAGACACTCAACTCTTCCACGATTTTATTGAGTGAAAGTTCATTGTTTCGGAGGCTTTCAACCAGTGCCGTCAATTCCTCATTGGCTCTAAGCAGACGGTTGTTCTCTTTTTGAATCCTGCCCAGCTTTTCTGTAAGTTCCTCCAGCTCTATTTTTAGACTTTGACATTCCTTCACACTTTTGTTGCTGTCTGTCATGCATTCTTCCTCCATGTTGTCAGTACAATCCAGTTTCTCATTTTGGCCAATTGTGGAACCTAAGTCAACACTCTCGTTTTTTAGCATAATGCTGAGTTCTTTGATTTGTTTGTTGTCTGCAGTTAGCATCTCAATTTCTTTTTGATTTGAACCAATTAACGCAGTTAGCGACTCCCTCTCTGTAGCCCAGGATTCTGACAGCTGCGTCTGCTCTTGTAGTTTGTCGTGAAGTTCTTTGTTATTCTGATTAGCAGACTGCAAGTCTGAATTAGCAAGTCTCAGCTTTTCAGACAACATGCAGATTTCATCCTCTTTCTCCCTGATGGCAGAAACAACAGAATCAACATAAGTTTGTTTAGAGGATATGTTGTTTTGTAAGCTTTCAACCTGACATTGAGATTCAGAGACAACTCTCTCGTGCAGTGCTTGGATTTGTAACATCTCATTTTGAGAATCCGTTTTGCTTTTCAGAAGTTCGTCATGTTGACTTTGTAATTCGGCACTTAGCTTCTTCTGGTTCTTTAACTCACTCTCTAAGCAGGACACTTGGCTCGAACAGTCATCCGATTCTCGAAGTTTCACTTCAGCCTCCAGTTCGTATATTCGTTTTACTAGGCAGTCCAGATCATTTTGGTATTTCTGCCCTTCGGATTCCAGTTGCTGTTGAATTTTTGAACAGGTAGCTTGTTGGGTCTTCAAATCAGCTGTTTTCGTGTCGACGAGCTCTTGCAGATGTTTTACCTGTGTGTGTAAATTCTTCTTGTCATTTTCTAGAGCATTTACTTGGTCCATATGACTCTGGATCAAACGTTCCAACTCCTTTACCCTTGCCAACATTTCTTCTCTTTCAATGGAGACTTGAGAAGAGTTATTTTCATGTTCGTTCTTCCATCTGGAAAGGGAAATATTTGTATTGATTACATCTTTGCATTCTTTCTCTTTACAATCAAGCTGTCTCTTCAAATCCAGTGACTCTTCGGCCATCCTAGCTAGGTCATTCTTGGATTCTTCCATATCGTTATCCCTTTTCTTTAGCATTTCTTGTGCAAGATCTCTTTCTCTTTCCAGATTGGACAAGGTCACTTTCAGATTTTGTAAACTTGCTGAATCTTGTCCTTGTAGTTTCTGCAGGGAACATTTCAGCTCTGCTTCCAAGCTGCTATTTTTGTCTGCAGAACAAGAAGCCAATATTTTAAATATATCAGTATTAAGAATATTCAAGTTGTGCTGCATGTTGTTATAACCCAAGCCAAGACCAAAACGTTTTACTTCATTTAAAATTTTAAACACATTCGGGTACATTTTACAAATTCTGTATTCAGCTCTGGTCCCTTAAATTATGTAGGAGCTTTATAGTCCATACAGTAGGTTTGGTTGGGTTTGTTTAAAGGTATTGGTCACTACAGGCTGTCCATTGCTACAATGATTAGCTAGAAAAGTTTCCTTTGTGTCCCTCTCCGATTTGGTTTTACTACTACTTAAAACTAATTTTCCCTGACTACATGGCTAAGCTCTAGAAACTGATATCCCCTTGTGCAATGACAGTCCCCTACTGGCCACCTGAGACAGACTCATTGGACACAGGGCTGGCAGTTGGTAGTACATAGTTTATTGCTATATCTTAGTTACTTCATGTTAATATTAGGGATACCAGTATCTGTGCCGATACTTGGCATTTTCACGATAACTACCAGGGTTGCAGCTGCGACTGGGCCAGGGCACTCTACCACTGTCCTGAAATCTTCAGTCTGTATTGTTCTAGAAAAACTGTCACATGACAATAAACAAAAATGTATCTGTAATTGTATCTGTGAGTACATGGACGAGTATTGGTACTTGGTCTGGGAAAAAAATGGTATTGGTGCATCCCTAGCTAATATATTTAAAAGGCAAAATATGTTAGATGCTCCTGGCACTTTGGGGTAGCAGGACGATGTTGCTGCTGCACAGAAGGGAAGCTATTTACCTGTCAGTTTATCCACAAGCTGCTGGTTTTGTCTTATAGTTTGATTTGCTACATTCTTTTCCTCTTCCATTTTCAAAGCTTCTTTAGTCTTCTGTTCCAGCTGGTTTCTAATTGCATTTTGCTGACACTTTGCTTCCTAAACACAAAAAAAAATAAGAGCAGACTGATTTACAAATCAACAGCATTGCCCAAATCAGCTTCAAAGAAACACATTTTTGAAAAGCAGTAAAAAGATGTCCTCGCAAACTCAAGCTAGTGCATGCAGCAGTTAGGAAATGCTATTGCTAAATGGTTTGTGGGAACCATGCTGCAGTGACAGATTGTACTTAATGCTTTTGTGTAAGTAAAGAAAAAGCAGGATTACACTGAAGCAAGGCATGTGTCAAAGGAAGGCACTGGGGTAGCCAAAAATGTCCTGGTTAAAATACACAATAATCAAGGGGCTGCCAACATTAAAGCATACTATTTAAAGTGGGAAATCATGAGAGCCTCTTCCAATTTTTTCTATCCAACAGGTATATAGACAGCACAGTAAAGCTGCTGGGGGGCTCTGGCCTTCCCCATTAAAAAAAAAACTAAAACAAATATTTTTGAGAATGAGGGGAAATCACCTTAACCACTTGCCGTCCGCCCGTTGTAAAAAAACGGACGGACGGCACTGCTGGATTGGCGGGTTGCCGTCTCCAGACGGCATTTTTTTGTCTGCTCGCGGGTGCGCACGGACAGAAAAGACCCGACCAATGCACCAATCCGTTACCGGGTCACATAAAAAAAAAACCAAAATGTTTAACTCTCCCACCCCCACGTTTACGCAGACAAACGTAAATACGAAAATGCGAAAACGACAATTGCGCTACACACGTTACATATCGCCGCGAACGTCGCAGTGAGAGCAATCATTTTAGGGCCATCAATCACTGATAACACTAAACTAATGAGCGGTAAAAGCGTCTCCTATGGCCAATTTTGGGTATTATCGTTTTTTTGAGGTTTTGCGCGCGCACGCAATTTTAAGGCTTGACATGTTTGGTGTCTTTTTACCCGACGTGACCCCGTCTTTTATATTTTACCAAAAAATTGGGTAATAACTGTTTTATCATTTAATGTAGGGGAAACAGGTTTTGTTTTTTTTTCGGTAATTTTTCCTTAATATAGTAAAAAAATAAAACCTCCAGTGGTGAATAAATACCACCAAAAGAAAGCTCTATCTGTCCCCAAAAAAGGGTATAACATTAATTTCAGTACAGCGCTGCATGACGGAATAAATGTCAGTTAAAGTACCGCAGCGCTGAATACTGAAAAATGGCCTGGATGGGAAGGGGGTTTAACACCGCGGATGTCATCTGGTTAAAGTGGCATTAAACCCTCAGATTTTTTAACATAAACCAATACTGTAATGTGTGCCTTACTGTAATCCATGGTTGTTTCCCTTCTCTTTGCTGCTCTTCCTTTTAAATCCTTATCTCTTCTCATGCTTGGGGAGAACTTGTTTTGCAGCAGACTGCCTTGTCTCTGAAATGGATACATGGTCTCTGTGTGAAGGTTCACAACCTGAGCCAGCACTACAGATAGAGGCACTCAGTTGCAAAGGGAAGTTCTCCCCCAGCATGAGAAGACATGAGGATTTAAAAGGAAGAGCAGCAAAGAGAAGGGCAACAACTATGGATTACAGTAAGGCACACATTACAGTATTGGTTTATGTTAAAAAATCTGAGGGTTTAATGTCACTTTAATGAAGCCACAGACAGAAAGTTTTGACTGCTAATCCCTTTATCATCCATCCAAAACTATAAAAAAATATGCTTGTAATACCTGCGCTTATACTTGTGATATTTATGATATGTTATAGAGCAGTGGTTCTCAACCTGTGGGTCGGGACCCCCCCGGGGGTCGAATGACGATTTGCCAGGGGTCGCCTAGTGGCTCTCGGCCGCCAGGAGAGAAACACTTTCTCCCGGGGGCCACCGTAAGTCAGAAAAAAAAACCCACCATAGGAATGTATACCTAGATTCCTATTGGCTATTTCACTTTGCAAAAGCCAATAGCATACTAGCTATTGCACCCGCCCTGTGATTAGGGGGAAAATCGGGGGCCGCCGTAAGTCAGAAAAAAAAACCCACTATAGGAATGCATAGCTAGATTCCTATTGGCTATTTCACTTTGCAAAAGCCAATAGCATACTAGCTATTGCACCCGCCCTGTGATTGGCGCTGTCAGCTTCCTGGCGGGCTCGGCACGTACTGTCAGCTTCCTGGCCTGCTTGGCACATGGAGCTGCGAACACGCCCGAGCCCATCCCTATCAGTGACAGTACTGCGGAGTATGTACCTCATATGTTATATAGCCACACACTTTAAATCCAATTCTTATAGATCCAGCTGCAGAGCCCGGTCCTGTCTTTGCCTATAGCAGTGGTTCTCAACCCGTGAGTCGCTGTGCAAGGTGAGAGTCCTCCTCAGCTCTCTCCTAGCGCACCAGTGTCAGTTCTCCCGCCACGCCTGCAGATGTCGCTGCAGCAGCCGCGTCATCCCTAAATTTTACCGTTGGGGGTCACCACAACTTGGCAAAAGTTACCAAGGGGTCCCGGCCCTAGAAAGGTTGAGAACCACTGTTATAGAGGGAGCTGGGCAGGTTTAGAACATATGTCTATGGGCTCATGCACACAGGTATATTTTACATAGGATCTTGTTGGCATTAAGATCCTATGTAAAATCTTGTTTCTACACTGTACATGTTTACATTAGAGATGCACCAAAATGGAACTATTACACAGAAACTACAAAATTTGTCAAGCCGAAACCGAGTGCGACTTTTTTTCCCCTCAAACTTTTTTTTAAAAAGTTTAAATGATTTTTTCTCTTGCACAGAGAAGCTGCCTGCATGCTAACAATAAGGACACAATACAGCAAGGAGCCATCTGCATCCCAGCAATGAAGGGCACCATGCAGACAGAAGCTGCCTGCATCTTAGCAATGAAGGATGCTGACAAGATCCAACTGCGTCCTAGCAATTTAGGCCACCAAGCAGACAACAGCCAATTGTGCCATAGCAACAAATGACACTAGGTGGCTCAAACCACCTGCGTCCTAGCAATGAAAGACACCGTGTAGCAAGGAGCCATTTGCGTTCTCGCAATGAAGAATACCATGCAGATAGGAGGCACCTGTGTCCTAGCAATAAGCCCCAAGTTTGACGGTTTGTATCCCATAGAGCCAACGTACACCAGCAGCAAAATGGTGTCAGTCTGGTTCATGGTACATTGCCAGTCCATTCATTTGACTGGGCTTCCGAATGTTAACGGCAAAAAAACATTTATATTGATGTTTTATACTAAAAGGGCATCATTCACATACACCGCAAGCAGTGTTGCTCAGGAGTACTACACCACTAACACTTGTCTTCAATAAAGAGAAAGCTGATGGAATTTTTAGGCTTTCAGCTATCCCTTAATATTTATATTTTGTGTATTTTCAGACATTCCGAGTGATTTCACACCACCCACTGTTTACCAGAAGAAGAAAAAAATCACAGCTCCCCCACAAAGACTGTGGCACAGCTTGTACATCGTTGCCGGAAAGGCTCAAGATGTTCACTGTCACTTCACAGGACGCAGCAAATAGATAGTATTGAGAAACCAGCGAGAGACCTTACTTCCTACAGAAGCGTGCACTGTGAAAATCAGTTAATTTATTAATATCGTGTAAGAATGAGTTAAATCTTACCTCTGGCCTTGGGTTCAGTCCTGTACAGTTGTACAGACTCCGCTCCTGTACAGGTATCTCTAACTCGGATTTCACTGCCCACTGTGAGATTCTCACAATGTGCATTAGAAGCTGAAGTCAGACAGAGCCCACCTCATTTCTTGGCTACAGGACATTCAGCAACATCTGGCCCTTTTCTCCCTGGCCTGACTGCCCCTGGCCCATGCTTTTCATTCTTTGGAATGCATTGCCTTCAATCAGGGAGGCTCAGCATCACATGTGGGTGTTACATAGGGTGGTCTGCATGTAAATGTAGCATGCCTAGAAAGCCTACTCCCCCAAACTGACACCCATCCATGAAAGCATTTTGATATTTGCAGGCATCAACCCATTGCTTGCATTAGGGCTGAGGGCTCTTAACAGAAGTACAGAGGCATGAAGCCTCCTTTGCCTGCATTGCATAGATAAGTGAAAATGGCACAGTGATGGCATCATTGGGTCTAAAATAAAGTATTTAAGGAAACAAACTTTTTTTTTTTTTTTAAATGGAATTGGTATGTTGATAGACGAGGGGAGGGTGGAATCAGGAAAGGCAAACAATAAGATGAAACTTCAGCTTTGCTCATACTTGTGGGTTTTGGTTTGACTCCCCCCAAACCCTCCCCCCCTAATAGTCTTTACTGCTGTCTGTGCCACTCACAAGGAGATCTCCCCATCTCGGTTACTTTTCAGGTAATTTCAAAAAGGAAACACAAAAGAGAGGAGAAGAGATTGGGTTTTTTTTGGCTAGCAGAGTGATAAACCCAATAGACTTCACACCATAAGTAGGTATAAAAATGCAAAATTTATTTGACAAAACATTTAGTTAAAACAAAAGAACACATTGGATACAATAATTGTACAGTACAGTAACAAATATTGTATCCAATGTGTTCTTTTGTTTTAACTAAATGTTTTGTCAAACTTGTCAAATAAATTTTGAATTTTTATACCTACCTATGGTGTGAAGTCTATTGGGTTTGTCACTCTGCTAGCCAAAAAAACCCAATCTCTTCTCCTCTCTTTTGTGTTTTCTACAATCAAACAGGGGTGGCTCCCAGAGATTTGGGATTTGTGCACCATAAATCAACTTTGTTTTTATTTCAAAAGTACAAAAAAAAAAAGAAACCAACTGTTGTGCAAGTAGCAGGTGGTAGGGAGAGATGGATCTATTAAATTATATCTAAAGTCACTTCTAGAATGGGATGGATTGCAGAATGTATGCCATTGGGGAGATTCCCTTTCACTTCCTGTTCCATAGACAACAGGAAGTGAGAGGAAATATACTTACTTCCAAGTTCTTTTTAAATTGACTGGCTTGATTCTCACTTGCTTGCAGAGCCCGTTCTGCCTTGAACAACTTCTGTTTTAGCTCCTCTACTGCACCTTCCAACACCTTCTTCCCGTGTACCACCTGCCAAACAACAAGCATATATTTACCATCAGACCAAAGCCTTGCACCCCAGAAAATCAAGTGACCTCTGGAGCATTAGATTTCAGGAAGTGTTGTGAACGGACTATGTATCTTCTAACGCACCACAGTCTTTGTTAGCACTATGATTAAATACAAAGCAATACATATATGAAGACTGTATGTACAAATATGAGACTGAGGACCAAGACTACCTAATACACAAAGTGTAATTCTCGCACCTCGATCCCGTCAATCCAGACATGGGAATATAAAACAAAACTTCAATTCAGAAATAAAAACTGACCCAAAACCATTATAGCTCTCCTGTAATATAATTAGATTTAACAACAACCTAGAGTTTGGGGGAAGTGGTATAGACCACAGCACTGATGTTGGGACTGAGAGTGTGTGTGTGTATTACAAGCTCTGCTTTCCATTATAAAAGGAGAGGAAGGAAAAAAAAGAAATAACCGTACGCGATCAAGTTCTGACTGAATGGCGTTAAATTCATTCTTAGCTTGCTGTGACTCTTGGCTTAGTTTAACTTTCATCTGGTTCAGCTGCTGCTCCATGTTCTTTAATGAGTTTTGTTGTCTGAGGAGTTCCTAAACACACAAAATAAATGGTCAGAAAAGCAACCAACAGGAAAATAACATGAGCTCAGCCAATGACAGACCTGAATATTGTACTACTGTACAGGGAGCACAGAATGCATCTGTAATGAGCGAATTTGGTACCGCCCCCCCCCATGCACAGATATCACTTCCCGTTCCAAAAACTTAGTGTATGTAAACCATACATCTATTTTGCAGTATGTTCAGCATTATGGTTCACTTTTTACAGTGTTCTCGAGTAATTATAATGGTCTCTAACTGGACAGCCTACCTATAACAGCACTTCCTGTAGCAGGCTGACAACACAGTGACTGCCTTGCAATTAGTAGCATTATTGTCGTCGTGCCTCATGTACCGCTTCACTTGTCTGCTGTTGATGGGCAGCCTCATAGCCAGCTTAGCATGATCTCGAAGAAAGTTTCCAATTGATTCACAAAAAATGATTTACTTAAAGTGAACCTGTGCCCAGATCATGATCACTCAAGTATTTACCCAGTCTTAACATGCAGTAAAGTGCTTTAAAACCAGCCCTAATCCATCTCTGTATTGATAAGCAAAAAAGTCTGAAACACAGGAACTGAAATCACAGTTTTTTTTAATTAAAAGAAATCTTGAAATCTGGTCAGGTAGAAGTCTAAAGCTGGCTATATGTGGTTAGATTTTGTTCAGTTCACAGACTGAAAGAAAAAAAAAAAAAATCTAATAGGTTCCCTATTAGAAAAAAAATAATCTCCCACTGGGCTATTATATTCTGACTGCTTCGATGTGCTATGGTTAGACATACGCAAATTTTCCACCCAGCTCCTTCGATTTTCTGATCTAAAGATGTCGGGCGGAGGCTGCCAACAGGGCCACCCACTGAGGGAATTTCAGCCGAGTTACAAAGAACTGGATGAAATTTGCTCACTGTATGGCCAGCTTAAGGGGCTTAAAATGAACTCTAAAGAAATTATAAAAAAAAGAAGAAAAACCCACCAAACTCTAAAAGAGGAACTCCAGGATTTTTAAAAGTTAACTCTTGCAGTTGGGCAAGGGTTAACTGCTCATTTTAGTCTACAGCGGAAAATAAAGAAAATATACTCACCTGATCCTCAAGCCCCCTCCTGGCTTTTCCCCTGGGCTCTGGCCAAGTCCCACTGATGTCATCACGTCTCTGCAAGGTCCATTCACTTGCATTAGTCGTGAGGACACCTAGAGACAATACACAGCCAGAGAGAGGTGAGCGATCACCGCCACAGGATCGAATGAGCATATCTTCTTTACTCTTTTCCCTAGACCAAAACTAGCAGTTAACCCTTGCAGTGCAGGGGTAGCCCCACTGCAAGGGTTAACATTAAAAGCACCTAGGGAGAGATCAAGGATGGCTTGATAAAAAGTATCTTAAGCATCTGTAAATAGTTTCATGTCCCTAGCCTGGGCACAGGTACCCTTTAAGCCTTTTAAAAGGAAACTGTGTACAGTGAGGCATGAGGCCAAATATACTAAAATAGATTTTGGGGTCTACACACACACGGAAGTGGGAGACATTTAACTCCTGAGATGGGAACCATCATCTAACCTGTTGATTTTCCTTCTCTCTCTCCTTCAGTTTGTTCTCTACAGTCAGTCGGGCACTTTCTGCATTCTGTCTCTGACAGCTCAGCTCATCTGCAACTTTCTTCAGCTTTAGTTCAGTCTGCGCACACTGCAAAAAAAAAAAAAAGATGGAATACATAGATATATAAGACTAGAGCTATGTGCTGCTGATAAGACAAAAAACACATTAAATGAGACCCCGTCAACAGACTGGTCATTTTAACAACAATCCACCCCCAAGAGTATTCATGCATGTTATTTACTAAAAGCCCCCCCTACCATTTCCCATCTTGGATGTGATGTCAGCAGCCCTAGCAGACTCAAGTGAAACTCCAGAGTGTTCCCCTTCCCTCCTCTCAGCTGCTACATAGCCAGTTAACTAGCATTTTGGAGGTGGTCAGTAATGGCAGGCTAAACATTTCTCTTGGTACAGGTATACTTGAAAATAAATCTAAACCCTACTCTGCAGAACAAAAAAATAAATAAATAGGGGTTAGAGTTTATTAGCAGAAGAGATTTTTATGTCTCTTCTGCCCCAAAAAACATTTCCCCCTTTACTTCTGTATACTGCCTACAACTCGGAAACTGAAAGATGTTGAGACTGGAGCCAGATGATGGGACGATATTACCGCAACACACGTGCAGAGGAGTTATATGTTATCAGTTGCTGCTCAACAGCCAAAAACAAACTGCCATCTTGCCGGACAAGATGACAATGAGGATCTCTGCGCTTGCATCCCTGAAAAGACAAACACAGAGGTAGGTCTGCCATAATACGCTGCTCAGTTATGCTTTGCCATGTGAATGATTTTACCCCACACCCATGTGGCTTCCCAAAACTGAAAGTGGAGTTACACTTAATCAATGTTGAAGATTCACAGGGTAGGAATTGTAAAGGTAAGAAGAAAAATATCTCGTATAAATCTGTATTCGATCGGGGACAGATCATCTCTGTGGCTATAGAAAGTCATGTCAGACTGTGTGACCTACCCTGTCCGCTGTCTGATCGTACTGCGAGGTCATTCGGGCCAAGTCATCGCGGCTCTTTGTCAGCGCTTTGTCCTTCTCCTGGAGTTCAGTCTGAGCCTTCTCCAGCAGCGTCTGCGTCTCCTGAAGTTTATTCAGTTGGTTTTTCAGCTCTTTTTCTTGAACTTGCAATCGCAGCTCTAGCTCGTTCACTTTGCATCTCAGTTCTTACGTTCAGGACAAAATATGAAACAAAAAAGGGTTTTAAAAAGTTAGACAATTCCATAAACAATTTTTATACACTTGCGTCAGAACTTTGAATTGGCTAGGAAATTTGACCACTCCAGGAGAGTCAGCTCCCTAGCACAACTACATATCCCCCCCTCCTTACACATCATAGCCCTTTATTCTTTTGAGCGTGTCTAAATACTGCAAGTACTGGCCCAGCTCCTCTGCCCCTGCGCTCACCCATTTATGCAGCTGCTGAGGGAGGAACGAAAAGAAATATTACAGAGAAGGGGTAGCCAAATTTTGGCACGACAGCTGTTGTGGAACTACAAGTCCCAAAAGGCATTGCAAGACCGACAGCCACAGGCATGACTTTCAATGGCAGTAACACGATGTAATTTGTAGTTTCTCCACAGCTGGAGGGACAAAGTTTCGCTACACCTGCTTTATGGTGTCACAGCTCTGAGTTTGTTGAAATCACATCCAAGATGGCTGCACCTAGCAACAGTCTCAGGCATTTTGGATGACTACAAAAGGGAGGCATTTCCTAGCACCTATGTAACGATATGGTAAATACACATATAATCTTACGTTTGTGAAATGAATGGTCTGACATTAGGTCGTCTAAGATTTGTGTTCATACAAATTAGAATTTACTATCTGAGCGTTTGCAGGGCGCCAATATCTTATTTGTGACATTGACAGCACCCTGCAGACAGACAGCAGGCACTGTTGTAATGCCTTTCACTATTCCTGAACATGGCAGCTCATCATGTCAATATAACGAAGTGGTAACTAAGCAGACAGTTTGGAGCTGTGCGTTTTAAATGTCAAGCAGGGAAATTAGCTCCAAACCCCCAACTCTAGCCCCTGTCCAAGCACTCCCACACTATATATTAGCACTGTCAAGCTATGTATGAGTTAACTATGACCCCTCCTGAAAGTGATTTCCACTGCATCTAGCAAGAAGAAAGGATCAGGATGACACCCCTGGAGCATGCACCTTCAAAAACAATTCAACAAATAATTAGTGGAAAATACAAATTCAAGTCACCTTGGTTTTGGCTTTTCAGTTGGTCATTTCCTGCAGTGTTAAAGGGCTCACTTCTGTTTGAAGTGTCTGGTTTGTAGCCTCTTTTGCTTGGCGTCTCTTCCTGTTCCCAGGGACACTGAGTGGAAGTGAAGCCCCTTTTAAGAGATGTGTCATGGCTGCTGGAGGAAGTGCGGCTCGGCGTACGTTCTTGTTGCCAAGAGAAGACAGAGGAGGAAGCCTGATGGCGGGCGATGTCTCGATGGTTGATGATGGTATTCTGGGAAGAGGCCTGGGAAGCTTGGGAATTCTGGCTCAGGAGCTGGAAAACATAAAGTGACTGGTACACAACCAACGAACACTTGCTGATCCTCTGGACGCAAACATCTTCAAAAGAGGCTCAAGAGCAAAGCTGTAACTCTTATCAACCAATCAGAATGTAACCTTCATTGATCTAGCTTCAGAAAATTTTAATCTAATTGGTTGACGTTGATTCAGGCAGAATGTCGCCTACAACAGAGTTTCTTTCTCTGTCTGCCCTCCTTGGAGATAATAACGGGATCCAACAGTTGCTGCTAAAGTCTTCATTAGTCTTACACGATGAAGAATCCAGCAGCTAGATTGAGACCTTTTCTTATTGTATGCATACAAAATTGTACAGATGAAAGTTTCAATGCATTTGTACAAAGAATCAATAAAACAGTTATACATAAACGACAATAAAACAAATTGCAAACATGACAGCTTCACATCTGTTTGTCTAAAGAGCCAGGCTAACCAAAGTGTATCATAAGGCATAGACCTGTGCCTTATGATTGAAGAGGCTATAACCTGGACAACCCAGAACACAGCCAGTAAAGGTCCCCTTAAATAGCTTTTTGTTTTGGATACAACAGAAAAGAGAACCTGTCAAGGTTTTTATTTTTAATGCGGCCTTTGTTGCTTTATGAAGTTTCTCCCACTTCCTACCTCAGAGACAACTGAAACAGTAAATGAAGACTCTCCAGAACAATACAAATTGTGTCAGTAATTAGGCTTTATATGAACTGTGAGTGGCCGAGTGCACCTTAAAAGTGAACATTTTACTTACTTTAATCTGAAGAATTTTTAACTCCGTTTCCAGCTTCTTCCTCTCCTCCACTTCTTTATTGTACTTGTCCTGCAGTTCCTCATACTTTGGCTCTAAAGGAAAAAAAGTCATGGTCCAGAAATATGCAAAATATAGAAACTCAGTAAAGAGGCAGCCATACAGCGGACCACCAGTTGGCAAAATATCCAGCCATTATTAGAGATAAAAGACTTCTAATCAGCAATAATGTGGGCATGGAATAGACAAGGTCTGCCTACAGTGTCGTTACATGTGAGGTGTCTGACACGGTTTGGAAATTCCACTCAGGAACAAGACATAATACGCATACATTATATCACCAAAAGCATGTTGAAACCTAAACATCACGGCCAAAAGTATGCGGACACCCTTCCAAATATTTGAGTCCAGGAATTTCCAGGGAAGGGTATTGTTAATACTACAACTTACAAAGACATTTTAGACAACTGTGCTCTTCTAATCTTAAAGCATCAGTTTGGGGGTGGTCCTTTTCTGTTCCAGCATGACTGTTCCCCTGTGTACAAAAGGCACATGGTTTGAGGCGTTTGGGGTACAGAACCCTAAAGTGGAATTAAAGTCTGCAAATAATCACCTCCACTTCATTGATGCGACATTCACAAACTGCTGTCAGCACCGACAGGCTTCTTCCGGGTGCGGGGGATGACGTTATGTCCAATGCATGCGTATAAGAAATCATTCATTCCAGCACAAAGCTTTGCTGAGAATGTAAATTGAGATGCGCATATGCAGCTTAGTATACATTCTAAAGAAGACTGCAAACAGACAGGTAAATTACCGTGCCTCATCTGCAAGAAAAAGTCTGCCTGCTTGCATTTGTTTGTTTCCTTTTAGTTCCGCTTTATCTGGTTATAGGCAAAAGACAGGTTCACTTTAAATAACTGCACTTTCAAAGTGCTGAACACCACCTATCTCCTTCGCACCATTTTAGTACATAGTACAGGCCCCAGATATCACAATCTGAGCGCCACAGCCTGCCCCATACTGTGACTTTTGTTTATATAATTTTGTCTCCCTGCTGGACGAGTCCTGCACACCTCCTGTCTTGGGAGATGACACCATACTTTGCTATGGAACACAACCATATGCACAACCAGAAGACTGATCTTCTAAGAAAAATACAGACATGATTGCTGCTTTTGGATTACAGTAAGTGAACATTTGGGGTTTAAGGTTAAACTACAACAGTGAACGGATCCTTTCGGGGGCCCATTCACTCCTATGTGTTTTATCCCACATAACATAGTGACTGATCCCAAACAAGTATACACATCATTTACCATTGCACTTGGCAGGTGTAAATGAAGCAGCAAAACTTTTCTGAGGAGTGACGCATAACGACATGTCCATCCCATTAAACGATTGCTGACTCCTCTCCAAGTCATTCTTAAATCTAGATCATAAAAACACAAAGATGGAAAAATAAAACACAATGTTAGTCTTTTTACATAAAAATTATTCATGACTGCTGGGGAAAAAAAACAAACTTTAAAATAACTGGAACACAGGAAAATGTTATGGCTTAAGGCGGACTCTGGTGGCACTCCCAGCCTCAGGTTCCATATCTTGGCCAAACTACTCCAGCAATATATACATTGGGGTGCGTTTTGCTAGTCTTTGTTTTTCCTTCAATAAGCATTGTTAAGAAAACAGTGTTCACTGTATTTCAAGCAATCTTTTTGACTACCAAAATATAGTTTTTAAGTTATTCAAAATATATAATAAATAATAACACTGGCAGACCAGCTAACACATACGGCGACAAGGAAGTAGGCTGCAATGCCCAGCCAAAGTATATATACATCAACTGTTCTGCCCTGGAAGCATGATCTCCGGTATCTTTGCTCCAGTGAGAGCATCTGCTGACTTCCTCTTCACACAACTCTATCTTATGACTGGTCTTCCATTGGGCTGTATGTAGGATCAAGGGATGCCTGAGCCTAGCACCACTTTAAGAACCGATGCCATATTGGCACATAATGGGCCTAGCTGCTATGGATAGAAGTCGCCAGTGTAGAAAATGCAGCCCATCCCATCCACCTATGAGCCTTTGATCATTACACAATAGCTGATCACCTTTTCAGGTCCTGCTCCAGCTTCTCAATCTGCTTTTTACTCGCGGTCAGCTGGCCCTCCAGGAAGCTGATCTGAGTGTCTTTCACTTGCTGTTCATGGGCCATTTTCTGCCTCGTCTTCTCCTGGTTGTCACATGATTCTATCAAGCTCTGATTCTCTCTTTTCATGGCGGTCACCTCACTTTTCTCACTCTCCGCCTGTTTCGCCCATCCAAAATATAAAGAAAAAAAAATGGTTAGAATGACATACATTTTTACTGTACTTCTAATACAGATAAATGTGCATGGTGGTCACCTCCTTCAACCTAAAGGAACTGTCCCACAATGACGGCATCTCTGAACTACAGAAGTCACTGGTAAGTTTAAAGATGGATGGTAACCCCCTCCCTTCCATCACCTTTCCTGATTAGGCGTTGTTTCATATGAAACTGAAGGGATGTGGAATCTCTAATTTTATTGACTGAATATTGTTATGGCCTTTTCAGTAACTGGCTTTCCAATCGACAGTGCTGCACACGGAGTGAAAGCAATGTTGGCAACCGCAATGTCGGAGGAGGCAGGGTTGACCGATGGAGAGTTGGGATGCTGTTCTGTGTTGGAGAGCCATGGTCCAACTCTGCCATGTGCTGCCAGGGTATTTAGGTCTTGGCTGCATAACCATAACAAGGGTCCCGGTTTTAATTAATGTAAAAGCACATAACAAAAATGCTAATTTATTATTGGTATTTATATAAAGCCAATAATTTACACTTTACATAGTGCACATTCATCCCAAACCCCGCCCTCAAGGAGCCTACACTCTAAGGTCCCTATACCACATACAGGGTCAATTAACCATCCAGCATGTCCTTGGAGTGTGGGAGGAAACCCGCAGGCACAGGGAGAATGTGCAAACTCTTTGCAGATAGTGACCTGGTGGGGATTCGAACCGGGGACCCCCAGTGCTGCCAGGCAGAAGCGCTAACCACTACCCCACCACATGCCCAAATTAGCTGAAGAAACATTTTTTTGCTACACAGTTAAGTCTGTTATGTTCAGTTCTGTTGACCTTCAGACTGATGTGTGTGAATGAAATCTAAAGCTTTTTGATGGACGTGTCTTCATATCATTTGCTTGGCGTACCTTTTGTTTCTGTTTCTGTAAGGCAGCCTCCAGGGACTCCAGCTGGAACTGTCTCTGTTGTCGCTCTTTCTTGAGCTTATCCAGCTGACTCTCCAGCTCCTGTATCTTTTGCAGGGTCTTGGTGGGGAGACCATCCTTCCACTCTTCCACCACCCAGCTCATTGTACTGCTTTACGGCACCACTCGTAGAGTTCAATCCTGGGACAAAAACCATTACATAAACATATCCTCAAATAAAATCAGTTTGCAGAAATTGGTGAAGTATTCACGGACCTCTTTTACAGATATGACTTGGTGTATAGTGATAGGGTCTCTTTAAAGTGATGCTGTCAGCACACACAGGGTCACTGTGGGGCTACCCCTGAATTGCAAGGGTTAATTTCCGATTTTCATCAAAAAAAAAAAAAAGGTATACTCACCTGAACCACATAGCTGGTTTGCTCTTAGACCGGTCCCCGGAACCTCTCTCCCCCTCCTCTGCAGCTGTCTAAGGACTCTCAAGTCATCACGTTCCATACACAGTGTATAGGATGTAAGGACACAACACAGAAGGACATACCATCGCTGGAGCATAGGGGACAGGCAGAAGGGAGCGCTGTGACAACCAGCTGACAGAGCTTTGGATAAGTATAACTTTTTTTATTTTCCTCCCTACATAAAAAACAAGCAGTTAACCCTTGCAGTGCTGGGGGGGGGGTGGGGAGGGAGGGCAGCACCACGGCAAGGGCTAATAAAAAATGTTGGAGTTCTTCTTCAAGTGCTCATTAAGACAGCGGCATGAAAATATGGCAACTAGTATGCAGGATCTTGCTGGCAGCAACGTATAACGCAAATAGTTACTAGACCGACAGAATGATTGGTCGCCAGCACTCTAAATGTTCTTCAATGCCAAATCTAATTAGATATAGCAGGTCAGATCACCAGGTGTAGCTATATCTAATAAGATTTGGCATGGAAGAACACTTGGAGTGCTGGTGACCATTCATTCTGTCGGTTAAATATTTGGCCGCTCCATCCGTGGCCATTTCAGCACACACACCACCACCACCCCCCGTAATATATGGGGTCTTTCCGTCAGGAATATATAGGACACAGGCGGCTCTAATAATGTGCATTGGCGCTGTACACGTCTTTGTTAGCACAGACGTGTACAATGTGCGCCATACACAAGAACTCATGTCCAAGGACCTGTAGCACACCTTACCGGACTTCCCATGTGGAAAAATGGGTGCTCGTAATGACTACGGATGGCGCCGTATCAGATAAGATGTTGTGTGGATGTCACCAGCACTCCAAGTATGACAGAATACGTCAAGATTTTTAGTGAATCTTCATTTTATTTTTGAAGTCACTTAAAGTGGAAACTTTCACTTTAAGTGACTTCAAAAATAAAATGAAGATTCACTAAAAATCTTGACGTATTCTGTCATACTTGGAGTGCTGGTGACATCCACACAACATACACAAGAACTCAGACGCAGATTTTTACGGAACTGAACACAACGTACGTTTGCTGATCTTTACACACTGTGTGCATAGAAAACAATACACCTGCATTCAGATCCGTGACATAAATAAATGACACTGTACTGATGAGATTTTTATAGACATGTGTATGAGACCCAATACAAGATCGGTGTTTAGATGCAGGAAGTACTTCCTAAAACCCACCACACACATTACAACCTGATTGTACATTCTCATTTACATTTAACAACTATGTAGTGCAAGGGTCTGCCTGATTGGATACAAATTGATCGGATAGTTTAGGTTGCCCCTCAATTTACAGTTTAGTAAATCTAAAGCTGACGATAATGTGTATGGTGAGTCTTTAACAATCAGGAGGAGGAAGGGGATATAAAAGGCCAATGTGCTCCTCCAGGACGATGTGGATCAGATCTGGGCACACTCCGCCGATCCAGTGTCGCTGGAAGATACTGCACAGCCAAGCCACCGGAGGAGCCCGGTATACAGCACCTTCTTTCCCATCTGTATGTCCCACCCCCCACCTCACGGGGCAACACTGACCTGTCACCCGGTGATCAGTGTCCAGCGCCCGTCATGTCGCTTCCCGTCACATCAGCGATAACGAATACGATTCAGTCACCGCGCCGTCCCAAACACAACACCCAGCCAGCCGTCCGCCCGCCCACTCCGGCCATTGGATGAAAAGCGAGTCCCCCCGCTCACCCCATTCGCCAGAGCACAGCAAAACACCACGCCCACCTAGCCGAGCCACATCAGGGAGGAGGCGGGGCTTGCGTTCAAATTTGCGGTAGAAGGTTGGAGGGCGGCACGCGACTGGCTGACTGGAGCTCCGGATGGGCTCATGTGATTGGCCGGGCTGAGGAACCACTGAGCGCACTAGGAATATAATTTAAATGGATACAGCACCGCGTTGGTGGATATACACTGCAACTGTCTTAACACACGTGTGTTTCCGGTACGGTTCCGCTTTATTTAGGCATGATGCGGCTGCCGGTGTTCTATCATTCCGCCGGATTCGTGACTTTATTGGACTGCCGGGGGCGTGTGCAGGGATCGTCCGTGCGCGCAGGCGCACTGCAGGTTCGGGGCCAGGTCCGACTCCGTTAAGCTCACGGACCAACGTAGTTTAACATCAGCGGCTCCAGGTCCATAACTCTTATTACCGTAATTATAAAATCCTAATAATAGAACAAAATATGATTGGAAGTAAATATATTTGTGATTTATATAGCAAATGTATTTGTGTTTTTATATAGGGAGAGAACCAAAAAACAGTGTTTTTGCTTTTTCCCTATATAAATATTATATTCAACATAAACTGTATCAGATTTAACACAAATATATTAACTTCCATTCATATTTTGATTTATCATTATGACTTAATAATTAGTAAGAGTCATGGACCAAGAGCCGCTGATGTTGGTCCGTGACAGTGCAGTGGCGTAACCAGAGTTGCGGGCGCCCGGGGCAGAACAAAATGTTGTGCCCACCCCCCACAACCATTATATCACTACCTCATTCATACTGCTGTCCCTCTAGTTCGAAGGATAGTTCAATACAATACAACAATAAAGAATGGCAACAGGCTATGGAGGACTACAAAACCCAGCAATGCATTATACCGTAATGGAGAATGGCATCCGGCTATAGAGAACTACAAATCCCAGCAATACATTATACAGTAATGGAGGATGGCATCCGGCTACAGAGGACTACAAATCCCAGCAATACATATTACAGCAATGCAGAATAATATGAAGCTACATACTCTATGTTGCTCTGGGTTTGCCGTCTCCAGGGTCTCAGGAGGGTTGTGCAGGGTTTCAGGAGGTTGTGCGGGCTCTCACCAGGGATCCAGAGAGTTACACGGGTGTGTGTTTTAGTGCAGTAGAGGCGGCTCCCTAATTAGGCTCTCAGGTGGCCAATGTGGACTGTCAGGTGGTCAGTGGCTCTCTGCTGGTCAGTGCGGGATCTGTGGTGGCCTGTGCGGGCTCCCTGATAATTAGTGTTAGCTCCAAGGTGGGTAGTGGGGGCTCCTTGGTGGCCAGTGGAGGATCCTTGTTGGTTAGTGGGGCTCCCTGGTGGCCAGTGCAGGCTCCCTGGTAGATAGTGAGGGCTTCCTGTGTAGGGTGACCATTTGTCCCCAATTTCCGGGGACAGTCCCTGTATTGAGGAGACCGTCCCCGGACAAATTATGTCACCGGGAACATAAAATAATAATTCCACTTGCTGTCCGGAGCAGTTTCTTTCTATTTGTGCACACATGATAAAATATCCATTGTTGGCTAGAAGACAGCTTCAGACCCCCAAACAAGTATATATTTTGTGAAAGCAGAGGCCCTGTAGAATAAAAAAATGCTAGTTGCAATTTGTTATGTTGCACGTTTTTTGTGCAAATGTTTATCAAACCAGTATTTTTAGGAAAACATAAACTAAATTAAAATGTAGTGCACAGACACATAATACAATACCCAATTGTTTGGTAAAATATGAAAAACGGGGTCATGTCGTGTAAATAGTTACCAAACATGTCAAGCCTTAAAATTGCGTTCGCCCCTGAAGCCGCAAAAAAAGTAAATACCCCAAATTTCACAAAGGGGACATTTTAAACGATTTTACCGCTCATCTATTTAGTGTCTATTTAGAATTATTGCTCTCACTCTGCTGTTCGTGGCGATATGTAACATGTGTAGCGCAATTGTCGTTTTCTCACGTAGGCTCTCCGACGCATGTGTATGTAGGGGGCGGGGAACTTAAACATTTATTTTATGTTACTTTAATTTTTAAACACTTTTTTTTTTTTTACACTAACCCTATTGCTATTACATAGGGGGCTTACTACCCTATATGTAGTAGCAGATAGGGTGTGACAGGTTCTCTTTATGGAGGCATCAGGGGTCTTAGGTGGTTGGTTAGGTGAATTAGTCTAGCTTTTTCATAAACTGAGGGCAGCAGGGTGGAACCTGTGGTGTCCTGCAATGTAGTCTCTGCTTAACACTGCAGAGAGAGCTTTGTCATTGGAGGAGAGGTCAATGACATAACTTTGACAGGTCACATGACTGGAATCTTCTCCTGGCTCTTTTATATCCATTTTAATTGACCTCAGAAGCAAGCAATACAATCCACAATAGTAAAGCACACTACTGTGCTTTATAAATGTGTTGTGATTTTTTTCTCAGGCAATAGGCATCAGTATTATCACGGTAGGTTCATGCTTGGTGGCACTTTTACATTTTTACATGGTTTTGCTTTCATATTTTTGCAACTGTATGAAAAACAGCTGTTTGTAGATTAGCCTCTAGAGGGCGCAAACAGTCAATGTGCAATCACACCATTTTCCAAGCCTCTCTCCTGGCGCTTCCTCTGATTTCACTGCACACTGAGAGCTTCTCACAATGTGCATTAGAAGCTGCAGCAAGTCAGATAGAGCCCCCCCCCCCCTCATTTCCTGGCTGGAGGACACCCAGCATCATCTAGCACTTTCCTGACTGTGCCTGGGCCACCATTTTCATACCTTAGATTTCAGTTCTTTTAATCATTGAGGCTCAGTATCATATGTGGACGCTGCTTAGGGCCATCTGCATTCAGTTAAAGTGACATTAAAGTCAAAACTTCCCCCCACCCACAATGCTAATGTGAGGACTTTCCTTAAATTATGTCTGGTAATCCGATCT